TACTTGGGAGTGTGGCAGTTTGGGAAGGACACCCCCAGGATGACAGAGAACCCCCTCCACTCTCAGCCCCCACGAAAATCCTTGTATAAATTGATCTTGTAAGAATTGATCTCTTAGCACTTAGGGTGGGGATACGGTAAGGGGTGGGGCTGGCAAGATTTTAGGGTCCAAGCAGAGCTCCCCACTGGAAAAATTCCTGCAGTTTTTCCTCAGGGGGGTCCACTCTCCTCTGAGGGCCCTTAGATCAGAGCTGTGCATGAGAACACCCCAAGTCTGGAACCTCTAGCTCCCCTGTTTCTGGACACTGAAGGGTTGTGAGAGGCTGGCTCCCTCTTCTCAGGCCTCTCTCCACCCCCAACCCAGCTCCCATCCATTTCCCCCAGAAGGTGTCCAGCAAGCAGTCTGGCAGCTGGGTGGGGTGAGGACCTCATGGACATAGCCAGGGGCTGGGGTTTCCCGGGTGGTTGAAGGCAGGGGGGTGCGATGAGTCACCCGATGACTCACTCGGTCCCCCTCCTCCCCCCACCCCAGAGAGGAGTGGTGTGAGTCAAGGATGCCTGTCGCCGGGGGCAACGCCTAGCTCCTGATAAATGGGGAGGGGGGTCGGGGAGTCAACTTGAATTTTCATGATCTGGTCCATACGTGCCCAGAGACAGGGCTCTGAGGAGAGAGGAGCCACCTTGCTAGTCCTACTTATTCTAGGACCCCAGGAGTCCATCTCTGGCCCTCTCCAGCCCTAAGCCCCTGAGAAACACAGGAATCCAGGCCCCAGCCTCCTCCTCCCTGAGAGCCTCGAGAGTCCAGGCCCCTACCCTCTCCTCCCTCAGACCCAGGAGTCTGGATCCAGCTCCCTACTCCATCAGAACTCGGGTTTCTCACCTGCCTCGGTGCTAACCTCGTCAGACTCCATTTCCTGACTACCTTTCCCCAGACCGCCACCGCAACCATGTCGCTCCTCCTGCTGGTGGTCTCTGCCCTCCACATCCTCATTCTCATTCTGCTTTTCGTGGCCACTTTGGACAAGGTAAGCCTAGTTGTAGCTCGTGCCTTCTGCTGTTCTGCAGACTCCCGCCACGCCCCTCCTCTAAAGTCACTCCGGCCCCGCCCCCTTCCCCTAGCATCAGCCCTTTCAGCTCTACCTCTGATGCCTCGCCCCTGCCCTTCCCCCTGGCCACAGCCTTTCCTACTAAATCCAAGCTCTCCCCAGTTCAGCCCCTTCCCAGGAACCTCGCCCTTTTCCTAACCCTTCCCACAGTCTCCCTGATCCCGCCCACTTTCCTTTCCTAATGCTGCCCTTGTTCATGGTCCATCCCAGTCCTGGTGGACTCTCCCTGGGAAGGAGTCCCTGAATCTCTGGTACGACTGCACGTGGAACAACGACACCAAAACGTGGGCCTGCAGTAACGTCAGCGAGAATGGTGAGGGGTGAGGGGCAGCGGGACTGGTCTGCAAAGGGGAGTGGAAACCCCAAGTCTCCTCATGGCACCACGGACTAGGAAACCCCAAAGTTTCAGTGGGCGGGGTTCGAGCCTGAGTGGCTGAGTGGGTGGGGTTGATGCGTGCCCACTCTCTGGAAGTGGGTGGTATGTCCCTGTTCTAAAGGAAATGGGCTAAGAGCCTCTCCTTATTATTCAGAAAGGGTGAAGGCCACATACTATAGGTTTAAGGAATGGGGAGAAGGCTTCCAAGATTCTGAGAACATAGGATTGTTTCCAAAACTCTAAAGAGATAGAGCTGGTGTTCTCAAAGGATGCTTGGGACCAATTCATCCAAGTTCCAAGGGGGTGGGGCTAGAACCACATTACGTTCTAAAGGGGTGGGGCCAGATGCATCTGAGTTCTGAAGGAATGGAGCTGTATCCATCTAAAGATCTAAGTGAAACGAAGTGAAAGATTAAGTTGCTTTTCCCTATGAAAGCAAGTGGTCTGCTCTCACCACTTCGATGCAGCATTGGACTGGAGGTAGCCAATGCAACAAGGCAAGAAAAAGAAGTAAAAGGCACGGGAAAGGAATTGGTAAAAAGTGTCTCTATTCCCAGTAAATATGTTTGTTTATGTAGAAAATCCTAAAAATTCTGCAAAGCAACTACTGGAACTGATAAAGGAATTTAGCAGGGTTACAGGGCTCAAGGTCAATATAAGTGATGCTCCTAAGTATCTAAGCTTGTATAGGGCTAAATAGAGACAGGGAGGGGAAGAAGTGGCACACGACGAACAAGCAGGTAGGGCTGGAACTCTGGGCCCACTGTGACTTCCACCTCTATGTCCTCCCTACTGCAGGCTGGCTGAAGGCGGTGCAGATCCTCATGGTGCTTTCCCTCATCCTCTGCTGTCTGTCATTCATCTTGTTCATGTTCCAGCTCTACACCATGCGGCGAGGAGGTCTTTTCTATGCCACCGGCCTCTGCCAGCTTTGCACCAGTGAGCACTCCCCACACGCCACCCCAGGAATTGAGGGGAAGGGAGGGGGTGTGTCGGGATGCTAGGTGCTCTGAGAATATGGAAATCTGATAAAAGAAAACAATTTTCAACAGCCCCAAAACCACAGGAGTGCCTCCATATACTGCCTCTCTGCCCCAGGGACTGATGGGAGTTGTAGTTTTCAGTGACTCAGTGGTGGTTGAGGCATGGGTCTGAGTCGTGGGGGAACTGGCGTGGGGGAACTGGCATCGGGGAACACAGGGCTTCAAGGAGCCAGGGCTGGGGAAGGGGGTATAGGTAAATAATTTGGGTCCCATGCATGGTGGGGGGTAGCTAATGAATACCCCAGAAGAGAGCTCTGAATCATAACAGTAATGGTATTTGTGTCAGCCAACTTCTATTTCTTGTGTACCTACTGTATATCAGACACTTTAGGGAGTTTTGTTTACTTTTTAATTTTTTGACTTAAAAAAATAAAGGGCTAAGTTAATCATAGTACTCAGTTTTGGGAACATTATCTTCCTGGGTTCCCGCAAAGCCCCTCCCTTGTTTTATTTTATTTATTTATTTTATTTTATTTTATTTATTTTTGAGACAGAGTCTTGCTTTGTCACCCAGGCTAGAGTGCAGTGGCACAATCTAGCTCACTGCAACTTCCAACTCCTGGGCTCAAGCGATCCTCCTGCCTCAGCCTGCAGAGTAGCTGGGACTGCAGGCGCGCACCACCACACTGGGCTAATTTTTTCTATTTTTAGTAGAGACGGGGTCTCGGTCTTGCTAAGCCTGATCTCCCTCTTGCCTATGCTGGTCTCAAACTCCTGACCTCAAGCGATCCTCCGGCCTCGGCCTCCTAGAGTGCTAGGATTACAGGCGTGAGCCACCGCGCCCGGCTCCCTTGTCTTATTAATTCACCACTGTATGTTTGGCTTGTAGAAAAACACTCAAAAATATTCCTCAGAGGAATGGACAGATAATATCGTCCCATATTATGGAAGAACCAATGGTACTCGGAGAGATTAAGTTGCCCAAGGCCACCCTGCGGGAGCCGCAAGGTGCTGGGGAGAGAACAGAAACCCCCAGCTGGCAGCGCTGCTGCCCACTCATCCTCTGGCGCTGCTGTGCCCCACGCGCTGTTGGGAAGTGTAGTCTTGCGGGCACTGCGTGACGAGCCGTTCCCTTCTTCCGCAGGCGTGGCGGTGTTTACCGGGGCGCTCATCTATGCCATTCACGCCGATGAGATCCTGGCGAAGCACCCGCGAGGGGGCAGCTTCGGCTACTGCTTCGCCCTGGCCTGGGTGGCCTTCCCCCTCGCCCTGGTCAGCGGCATCATCTACATCCATCTGCGGAAGCGGGAGTGAGCGCCCCGCCTCGCCCTGGCGCCCCCACCCGCTGCTGGCCCCTCGGTCTCGCTCCAAAGCCCCCTTGCGTCCTCCAGAAAATAAAACTGTTTAACCGCGGGCTCTGCCTTTATCTCCTTCCTTCCTTCCTCCCCCAGGGACCTAGGCTGCAAACGCCTGACCTCCCCTGAACTAAGGAGGGTCCCCCACCACCGGCCCCTCCGCCCTCAGAATGCCCATCTCCCAGCCCCTATCCCCTCTTCCCCACACAGGAGCCCAGATCCCCAGGCGCCTTTTCCCTCCCACAGACCCGAGAGCCTGGGCCCTCCCCTCTTGGGACCCAGGAGCCCTCTGAGAGGCACCTGAGTCTAGACCTTCAGACACTCCGGGGAAGAACCAGGAGTCTGGGTTGCAGCCCTGCTGGGATCAAGAGTCTGGAGTGTCCAGTCCTCTCCTTGCCCAAGGTTCTGTCACTGTGCCACTCTCTCTCTGGGACCCTGGTATATTGTGTGTTTCTAGATTTGGGAGAGGAGGGTGTTTGTTTTTTAACTTTCTCTTTAACCCTCCCTCTGGAAAGAGTTTTCTTTTTCTTTTCTTTTTTCCTCCCAATCCCCCACCCCCACCCTGAGTTTCCCCTTTCCCCTCTTGGAAACCAGTCTCCCTTCTTCTCTGGGACACAACTCCTCCTTGTCTGCTCTCTCCCCAAAGGTTGCCTCTAGCCCATAGGACACCTTAGTAAAAATCAGAAGGCATTCCCTTCCTCCAGGCTGACCCAGTCCCATACCAGGGCACATGTGGGGCACGAATTGGATTTTACAGCCACCCACCCCCTGGCTGTGTGCCTTGAACAAATTTGTGCCATGAACACATCTGCACAACTGCACACGGCTATTGTACCTCCTCTATTCATGAGGCCCTGAGAACCAGGGTCTCTCCTCAGGAATCAGGTCCTTCTAAGATCCTCTTTTGTGACTCAGATAGTCTTTGCTTTATGAACCATGAACCCAGCCTCTCTCTAGGACTACAGCTCTCTCTGTCTGGGATTCGTCTACATGCATTAGTATCCCCCACGAGATCCAGAGTCCCTTCTTTCCAGGGTTCTGATGCCTTACCTCCAACTTCTGCAGCCACTCCACTCATCCAGATTTATTAAACATGATTTATTCCTTTAGGGCAGGGGACGGGGAGAAATTGATAAACCAATAAATAATTGCACAGATCGCTAGTGGCGGGGAGATCCAGACCGAGGTAGTTTCTGTAGAAATGGCGAGGGACCTGGGCAAGGAAGGCACCTGAGGTTGTTGGGAGCCTGAGTGGCAGCGAGTCTTCGGGTGAGGGTGGTCTCTGTTGCCTCCAGACCCACAGATTTTACCTGGCACAAGGTTCCCAGCCCCTTCAGCCTGGACACCCTGATCAGCAGTTGACCAGATGGCCCGCCATACAAGCAGTAGCAATTTATAGAAAGATCAGGTTTCCTTTAGAAATTCCGATTGGTTGCTTCCCTGCAGAGACAACTGGCTGCCCAAGGTTGATAGTGCCCAGCAGCTGTCATTGGTTGTTTGCCAGGAGGCAAAGCTTGAATGGCTCTCCAGGGCTGCCAGCTGGGGCCCCGCCTTTGTGCACTTGATGGGCGGTTTGCCCGGAGCAGGCTGAAAAAACAATGATATACGAGTATAGCCTCAGGACAGTACAGCATTAATGACTCTACTTGGTGGTTTATAGAACCCAGAGCTGAACGGCTGTGATTGGCTGACACCTCCAGCTCTTCAACTAAACCACCTTTGGATGACCATGGTGAGGGTGGGTCTAAGAAATGGGCTAGAAGCAGAGCTAAATAGCTTTGATTGGCTGTTCATTAGAAGGGGCGGGGCCTAGCAACCGCTGGCTGCTTTGATTGGCTGCTTTGTTTAAGCATACGGTGGTGCAAAAATAACTGCCTGTCAGTAATTGGAAGTTGGAGAGACATAGTAACTGTGATTGACAGCTCGTTGTGAAGGAGGTGGGGCTTCGTTCCTAGCCAGGTGGCTGGGCGGGGCTGGGCAGCGAGGTTTCAGTCAAGGGTTGTTACTGCTGGGTGCAGCCTGGGGGAATTCGGAAGTGACTGTGGCCAATGGGTCTAGTCTGGGGAAACCCGGGGGTGGGTACAACCCCACGCTAGGAGTTAGGGCTTGCAGGTGGGCCAGGGCCCGAGTTCCGTTGAAGGTCACGTCACAGCCTGACTGGGCCAGGAGCCAGTTCTCCACCTCTGACTGGAGCCACTGGGAGGTCTCTGCAGACGGAGAGGCAGGTGCCGTGAGATTAGACTAGGAAGGACTGGGAGGGGCCAGCCGAGAGGGGCGTGGATTTGGGAGAAGCCTAGGGGTACACTTGAGGCTTGGAGGGGAGTGGAACAAGACCTAGGAGGCTCTAGTGGACCAGAAGGCTCCGCTCTGGGGCTCTCATTTGGGACTCTAGTTCAGGGAAGGGTGTGGCTCTCATAGGGACGGGGACCCCCTGGGGCTCACATAGGGAGCGGGGCAAGGGTACTTGGAGGGAGAAGGTGGGCTTATGCAGAGGAAGGCATGCGGGGAGGGGCATGCCATGGATCCAACACCCCCAATGAAGCCGAGATCAGGAGAAGAAGGTCACACCAGGAACCAAGGTCAGAAGTTGGAATCGGGGATCCTGTCCGCTGAGAGGTGGGGTCTTATTGCAAATCGGCCAGGTTCACCAGTGGAAACTGGGGGTGGGGACGAGGCTTCGCAGGGGCAGGGCCCCCTGCTGCCGGGTTCCAGGGCCATGTCCTACCTTCCGGCGGGCCTCCCGCGCCCCGCGGACGCCGGGCCAGGAAGCTGTGGGCCAGTAGCGCCTCCTTGGTGTGCTCGTCCTGCGCGCGCAGGGCCAGGGCGCTGAGCAGCTCCGAGTTGTTGGACGTGCTGCGGTAGTAGAGCATGTGCGCCAGCTCCAGCGCCTGCGCGCTGCGCCGCTGCCCGAACATCTGCAGGCGGGACAGCGCCCGGGTGGGCTCAGCTCAGGACCGGCGCCCATACACACACACACCCCTGGGTCGCTGGCACGCCCTTCCCGCACACTCCGTGGAGGAAGGGCGGGGGCTGTTATGAAACACAGCTTCCCCCAGCACTACCCAGACCTCTTCAGTGAGGGTCCTCAGGGTTAGGCTCAGAGAATCTGCATTTTTAACACACAAGTTCTCGCCCCAGTGGCTCCAAGGCTGCCAGCCCCACCTAAGTAGAAAGACTACGGTTTTTGCCACATATTAATGGATCTGCTCAAAGATTTCCAGATGTTACCAGTTTCAGCCTTAGAAGATTTTGTCACAATAATAAGTCCTTATCTTTTACAGACACATTACAGTATGATAAGATGATAAGTCTAGGATTTGCCTCAAAACTATCCAATGGTGGAGGAGCGGGGGTCTTTAGACGAAATCTGATGGACTATTGCTAATCTTCCTAGTCTAATGCTAGGTGCTGGCTACACGGGAGTTTATCATACTATTTTATTTCTCTATTTGTTTAAACTTTTCCACAATGAAATAAGGTTTAAAATATTAAATTGTAAAGAGAAGTGGAGGGAAGAAGAATGTTGGGGGAGGGGTAGGTCAGGACCCAGCTGTCTATTTGGCTGCCCTCTTCCCCACCTTGGCCCCTCCTTGCGTGGAGGCCTTTGCCATCCGTGGCATCTTTAAGGAAGAGGAGTGAGAGCCCACCAGTGCCCTCTGGGCTTACAATGAAAACCTGCACCAGGATTCCTCCATTTATCCACAAAATGAGGTCAAGACCACTGGATCCTGCCCCGACCAGCTGGGAGCCCTTGGCTAAGACCTAAGTCCTGGGGTAGCATTGTCTGTAAAATGAGGTTGATGCCAAGGAGGGTTCCATAGTCAATACACAGTTAATAAGACACTTGGGACTGAACCTGGCCCCTCAAAAGCACTTAACAAACATTAGCTGCTGTCGGATAGTTGTCCACAACCTGTGCTGGGTGCCCATAGAGCGTTGCATGTCTTACATCGAGGACTGAGGTGAAATGCCTCTGAAATCAATACGCCACAGAAAATTGCTGCAATGGCTTGCACAGTACCAATGACACGGCTGTGTGTGGACTGTACCCTCTTCTTACAAGCCCAGCACAGTCGGTTTATGTCCCTGCATTGGAACAAATTGCCATTTCTTTGGCTGAGGGCAAGATGCAAGAATAGCTTGCTTTAAAGACCATCTGATATGAAAAACACATTAGGTTTTGTGTCTGTGTCTGCCAAGCTTAGGGAGTTGAATTCTCCCATGTTAAAGGAGCAGGTCATGCCACTCCATGGCATACAGACAAAGCCAAATGCCTCCCTGAAGAAGGGTCGCCACCTGCCACCTGGATGGTCCCTTCAGCACAGCCCACACTGAGCACAGTACCTCCGCCAGCCCATTCGTTCCTCCTCCCCTGGGATCCATATCTATTGCGGCCCCACCATCTACTCAGTGTCAGGCCAGACCCCTGACACTGTCTCCGCTCCCTCCTCACCAGCCTGTCAGTCCCCAGCCTCATCCTGCTGTCCCCTGACTCTCTTAGCCCATCCCCTCCTCTCCAGCCCTACAGCTCAGCCCAGCTCGGGCTTTATCCTCGCCTGCCTGGTGCATCACCCCAGCCTCCTCCCTGGCCTAAGTTTCTCCCCTCCAGTCTGTCCAGCTCCAGAGCTGACCCAGCCCCTCCGCTGCTCGCAGCCTTCCTATGGCTCCCCAGTGCCCTCAGAGAGCCAGGCTCCTTGAGGAGGCCCTCCAACTCACCTCATGCTCCTCCCCTCTGAATGCAGCCCACAGCCAATAAGCCAGGCCCTGCTCTCTCAGGCCTCCAGGCCTTGGAACAAGCCAAGTCACCCCTGGTGTGTTCTTAGAAAACAGTCACTGCCTCATCCTCAAAGTTCAGGGTGAACATCACTCCCTGTGGATGGGCAGTTGTGTCCTCAGGTTCCTGCAGTGTCCACTACCTCCATTAGGCACCGCCTGTGTGTGTCCGTGGGCCCCGCACCTCTCCCTCCAGGGCAGGAGCGGGTTGATGCATCTCTGGGGTGCCGGTTCAGCAGCCCTCCCCCAGGCTGCCCCACAGCAGCCTTAACAACTGGGCTAAGGGGACTCACAGTGAAGCCCAGGGTATGGTGGAGCCCACAGGGGCATCCTCCCTGCCTGGGACATCTGGGAAGGATTCCCGAAGCAGGTAGCCTCTGAGCTAAGAGTGAGGGGCGAGCAGGGGATGGCCAGCCCAATGAGGGGGAAAGGATATTTCAGCCCAAGGGAACAGCATCTGCAAAGGCACAGAATGAGGGGCAGCAGGGCCCGGAGGTCAGGGAAGGTGCCACAAGCATGTTGGTGGAGCTGAAGCATAGAATTTGAGCTGAAGGATTGTGCCTGAAGAAGCTGCGGAAGCAGGGTTCTCACTGCCAGGCTGTGAGCAGGGGAAGGGGTGGAGAGGGACAGGGCAGCTCCAGGTTGAGTGGGGGATGGACTGAAAGGGACAGTTTGGAGGCTGGAAAGGGCCTGAGCAGGAGCATGCCACAGAAAGGAGGACATGGGGCACAGAGACTCAGGAGGCAGGAATGGCACACTGGGGACCAAAGGGTTGGGGGACAACGGAAGGCAGCTCTGGGGGTCTAGCCAGTGACTGGAGGGACAACAGGCCATCCATAGATGGGGAACCCAAGAAGAGGAGGAGGCCAGGGGAGACTCTGTGCTCAGCCTGGCAGTGGCGGTGAGTTTGTAAAGGGCGCTGTGGGGAGGGCTGTCCCTGAACCACCTAGTCGTGGACAGTAGAGAGCTGGTTATAGAAACCACAGACACAGAGGAGCTCTTTGAGGGGAAGAGAAAGAGCCTTGAGTACTGCTGCAGGGGTCTGCTCTGACCACCTGTCCCGAGACAAAACAGGGAACTCCGGAGGAGCAGGGGTTTGGGGAAAAGATGGACACCGGGCTCAGTGGGGCTCAGCTGTGTCCAGGGAACAGGAGGGGACAGGTGTTGGGGACGGGTAAATGGGCCTGGGAGGAAGACTGGGGAGGACCCACATTTAAGGGCTGGGACCTCAGGCCAGGGCACGGGAAAATATCTAATGAATGCACTAAGTTCACTAGTGAGCTGGGTTTTTGTTTTGGTTTTTTGGTTTTTTTTTTTTTTTTCTTGAGACAGGCTCTCACCCTGTTGCCCAGACTGGTCTTGAACTCCTGAGCTCAAGTGAGCCTACAGCCTCAACCTCTCCAGTGGCTGGGATCACAGGCGTGCACCATCATGTCCAGTGTGAACTGGGTTTTCAGCTGGGCTTTTCAGAGACTGAAAGGCTCCAAAGCCCCCCTGGGGCCACTGAGGGGTGGGACAGACAGTCAGTGTTTCTTCCCTAGAAGGGCTTGACTCCCCTTGCTGGCCCCCCTGCCTTTAGTCCTGTTCCTCCCCTTCCATGGTCACCAGAGTCCCTCTGTGCTTACAGCCCTTCCAAGGCTCCCTACTGCCCTGAGGATAAAGTCCAGGGTCCTTTGGGCATTCGAGGCCCTCACCACCCTCTGGAGCCCCACCTCTCTACCCTGCATGCTGGACTCCAGTCCCACACGATACAGCAAGCTGTGCTCACTGGTCCCTTCTCCACCAGGCTCTGTCCTCCCCTTTCAAAGCTTCAGTCAGATCCTCCCTGAGCCCTGGTGCTGGGCAGGAATCGCTCCCTCCCCAGCCCTTCTCTTGGCTGGAGCCTCCTAGCACCTCGCCGCCAGCACAGCCTATTATCTGAGCGATTTATTACCAGTCTTCCTAAGAGCCTGTCAGGATGGCTGAAAACAGCGTGAAAACCAATGAGCCAGTGGGTGAATGATCGGGTACAACAGATGCCTCACACCAGTCTACACTCCTGAGTTCAGTGCTAACCCTGGGGAGGAATCAGTAAAAGGCAGTTCCTCCCGGCCGACTCAGCCTCAAGACAGGGCACATGGTTTGGCAAGTAGGGCACAAATTGGGTATCGACTCCCACTTGTCCCCTCAGCCACAAATCCTTGGATGGTGACCAACCTGTGCAACTGTTTAAGGCAGCCCTGCACTCCCATGTAGCAGAATCAGGGAGGGAGCTTGTTAAAAATATAGTTTCCTGGGCCCTAGTCCCAGAGTTTCTAATTCAGTCCATTAGGGCTGGAGCCCAGGAGGCTGCATTATAAGCCAGCTCTCCCAGCGATAATGATACCCAGTCAGGATGGGGACTCAGGGAACAAACAGCCCAGTTGGTAATGATAATAACAATAATCATGATAATAGCTAACTCTCACATAGTACTTCCTGTACTCTGCGTGAGGCTCTGTTCTCAGCACTACATGCATATTAATTCATTTAATCCCCACAATAACCCTGTAAATTAGGTCCTATCATCATCCCCACTTTGCAGATTCTGGAGCGGAGGCACAGAGAGGTTAAGCAACTTGCTCAAGATCACACAGCTAGAAGACACTAGAGTTAGATTCAAATCCAGGCAGTCTAGTTCCACAACACACACCCTTCACCACATCACTAAAGTGCCCCTAAAGCAGGTGCTCAATGAGCTGTTAGCTCTCCTGTAACACCTACCACAAGCCAGGCACTGTAGATTCACTTACTTTATGCTCACGAATAACCCTACAGGGCAGATCTCATTAGTATCCCCATTTTCCAGATGAGGAAACTGAGGCACAAAGAGATTAAGAAACCCACCCAAGGCCAGGTGTGGTGGCTCATGCCTGTAATCCTAGCACTTTGGGAGGCCAAGGTGGGAGGATCACTTGAGGCCAGGAGTTCGAGACCAGCCTGAGCAACACAGCAAGACCCCATCTCTACAAAAAGTAGAAAAATTAGCCAGGTGTGGTGGCACACACCTGTAGTCCCAGCTACCTGGGAGGCTGAGGCAGGAGAATCGCCTGAGCCCAGGAGTTTGAGGTTGCAGTGACCTATGATGATGTCACCGCACTCTAGCCTGGGCAACAGAGCAAGACCCTGTCTCCAAAGAAAGAAAGAAACCCACCCAAGATGTGTTGAGTAAATAGGGAAGGAAAAATGGAAGGGAGGGGGGAGGGAAAGAAAGGAAGAAAGGAAGGAAGGACAGCACAACACAGGAATAATGCATGAAGTAAACAAAAATAAAGGGGGCCCAACCTGCCTGAACACCAAAGCAGAGGGACACAGGAGGCAGGGTGGGGTGGCCCACTCACCTTGGAAGCCCGCAGGCCCATGAAGACGGCAAAGAGCAGCAGCAGCAGGGACGTGGCCACCTTGAGGTCCGTGAGCACCACCATGCCCACATTGACGAAGAACACCACGCCAGACACGACCAGCGTGAGGTTGAGCAGGGCGCGCTGCAGGGTGGGCGTGCGCACCTTCAGCTCGGGCAGCAGCTGCTCCAGGCCCTCCAGCGGCGTGTCCTTGAAGCTCTTCAGCACCAGGTGTCCTCGTTTTGTCCGGGCGGCCAGCACCACCCGCTTAAAGTACCTCCTGATGGACAGAGACAGAGGCAAGGGCAGGATCAGGACTGCCCCGGGGAGACCCTCCAACCCCAGCAGGCGCTCTCTGGCTCTACGGTCACACAACCATTTTAAAAGCTACTTAATAATTGTGGGGAAGGAATCAGAAATAAGTTGTGTCCAATAACAGGGGATCAGTTAAATAATGTAGTCCCTGTCATTGGACATGTATGTTGTTCATTCTTCAGAATATGGACTTCTCTCTCTGGGCCTCAATTTTCCTTACTTGGGAAATGGGGAGAACTGTCCCTACCCTTTCTCTTCCCCTGGAAATTGTAATGCTCACTTTCCCTTGGAAAGAAAAGGCAGCTTTTGGATGATTCACACCTCCTTATTTCTTAACTTCCCACCCTGGCCCCAGACACCCAAATCCAGATACTGACCTGTCAGTCCCCTTTCATCTCCAACCTTGCTCCCTCTCACTGCAGCTAGGGAGCAAAGGGTGCCTCACCTCTCTACAGGGGGCATCTTGGTGAAGAAGCCGCGCTTGGAGCCCACGCTGGACATACGGGGCATCTCCCCGACTCGCTGGCCCAGGGCCCAGAACTGCATGTGGATATACTGATCCAAATTTACTGTCACCTGCCAAGGGGGATGAAGGAAGCAGAGGCAGCTGAACACAGGTGGGGATGTTGAGGGCAGGATATCAGAATTAGATGCCCCTCCCTGAAATAATTTCCCCCCTTTCCCTACTTATCACTATTCACTATCTAGGCAGGACAGCCACATATGGGTGTTCATGTTGTATACTGCACAAGGGCACACCATCTAAGACAGTGCCGTTCACATAGTAATCTTCTTTAGTACTGTATTTCCTAGAATCTAAGACGCTACCACACAAGGGCACACCATCTAAGATGGCACCATTCACACGGTAGTCATCTTTATTACCATATTTCCTAGAAGCAAAGGTGCCACTGATTTTAAGATACCCAATTATTTTATGAAGCAACTAAAAAAGAAAATATATTTCCAATTAAACCAAGTCACACCACCGCTTGTAAGTCACATTCCAATTTCAGAGATGAAAAAGTACGACTTTAGAAAAAGCACATTTTAAAATCACTAAAATGTGGAACTTTGGAAGATTTTAGCATTTTTATTATAAATTTGTTGACTTTAAGGATATTTTGCATTATCTATTATTTTTGTATTAGTTTTGTATTATCTGTTATTACAATTTTCTGACAGATGGTGATAAAGTCTCTAGTCCTAAGAAGATCCCTATCATATGATACTTTTCCAATAGGTGGCAGTGGAGTGACCCGAGAAAGTGGTGCCTTTTTCTAATTTACTAAGTGTGCCATTGGGCTCATGTGCCCAGGACTACAACTCCCAGAAGCCCCTGCTTCCCAAAGTCTCCAGCCACCCCCAAAGGCCCCCTGGGAATTTTGGTTCTCCTTTGGAAAACAGGTACCTGGACCTCGTCCTGAGGATGGTGGACCACCAGTGCATAGGCCAGGGCGTCCTCGGAGAGCGGGGAGAAGTTGGCCTGGGCCAGCAGGGGCTCCAGGGCCCGAAGCACCTCCTGCTCATTGGACAAACGCTGGAGGTCTGTTAGCGATGGCTGCTCGAGGGTCTCCCTGTCGGGGTTGATGGGGTCATACAAGGCCTGAGGGGGGTCAGAGAGGAAAAACTGGGCTGGGTCACAGCATGAAGGATTGTGGGGACACTTAAGAATGTTCCTTTCCCTTTCCTTGGAATGACAAGGTACCCCCAGGGCTTGATCTTGGGTCTTCTTCCCTTTTCTCTCTGCAAAGTCACCCTAAGTCACCTTGCATTCCCATGCCTTTATACACCATCTCTGTGCAGGTAACTACTCAACTCATACCTCCATGTGGACCTCTCATCCACGTTCCAGAACCAATATCCAATTCCGGTGCATGAGCTCATGTTCTTCCCCCTTCTTCCCACAATAAGAGGTGAGGGCAGACACCGGGATGCCCAGGGAGAGACTACGTTTCCCAGCCTGCCTTGAGGCTAGCTGTGGCCAGGAGACCAGGGTTTCACCCATAGACTGTGAGCGGAAGTGACAAGTGAAGGGGACACCTTTCTCTCACTTTCACTCCCCTGGACGTCCACTCTTTCCTTATTCTGCCAGCTTAGAACACTGTTTTGCCCACTGTATTGTAAATATTTTTAAGTTTTCTGGATATTACAATGTTTTGACATCTTAAAACTTTTAGGCTGTGGTGAGACTATCCCTCCCAGACCTAGCCAGTTCTTAGAGACAGCAAAGGGCCCGGCCAGGAGCATGTCTTTGCTATGCAAACTAACCAGTTCAGAGCCAGACCTCCTCTGTCTGACTCTTGCCTGCCAGGAGATAATACTTCTCTGTGGGAATCCTCCCAGGGCCAGATGCCAGGCCACTAGGGACCACCCCTGTAGTCTATGGTTTAAAGCCCAACAAAATTATTCAAACTAGCCAATCACAAACGTCACCCTACCTGCCTTACTTTTCCAATGGAAACTCAAGGAAACCCCATTGAAGGCTCTGACCACCCTGGTACCTTTCCCACATGGCCCTGTGCGGCATGGCACACCTCCTGTCTCCAGGACCTGTGAGTATAATAAATCTGGTTTTTTTCCTGAATCTTTCCTTGTCTCCTCTAGTGACCGCACCTGACTGACCATCTCATAAAAGAATACAAAACACCCGTGACCCAGTTTTGACCATACAGAGATAAAGACAATGCTATAACGGACAGCAGAGGAACAAGATAGAAGGAACCTGGGTCCCAGAATAATCTCATGTGTAACAGAGCTGTCCATCCACCCTGGCCCACTTACCCCAGGACTGTGAAGCGGAAGAGAAAAAATCCTCCACCTCCTTTAAGCTGTGTGTTGTGGTGTCTATTTATCAGAGTAGCTAAGTCTTTATACTAACTAAAACAAACTTCCTACTCAGTATTTCTTTTGGGATATCCTACTTGTCTCGAATCCAACATGTCAAGCTCACAGATCACATTCCCCGACCTCCAACCCCAACCTTCCAACAAAACTACAATTCTGGATTTTCTCTCCTAAACCCACTCCCCTCAACTATCCCTGGTCTTTTCTGTGAACACCACTCTTATATCCAATTATCTCTTGGACATCTCGGATTGGATGACTGATGGCCTCTCCTATCTAACACGGCCCAAAGAGAACACGTCACCCGCCTCCCCCAACACTCACGCACGCCCCTTAGTTGTCTTCTTTTGGGAATGGCACCACCATCCATGCAGATGCTCTGGTCAGAAACCTTGGCAGCATCCTTAACTCCTTTCTTATCATCACCCCCACTTCCAATCCTTTGGCAAGTTCACTTGTCAGCCCCCCAAATCTCTCTTGAATCCACCCTCCTCTCCATCTTTGCCGCTATCTTCTCACGAAAGCCACCTTCAACTCTCACCTAAACAATTGCCTCGGGCTTCTGCTCTCCCTGCTTTTACTCTTGCCACTTCCAAACCATCATCCACATGACCTAAAAGAGCTTCCTGAGACCATAAACAGATCCCATGCTCCACCCCTCTGACGGCTTCCTATACTGCATTTGGAATAAAATCCAGAATCTTCCCACAATCTTCAAGGTCCCTCACAAACTGGCCTCTGCCTTGGTCACCTCATCTTAGGTACTTACACACACACACCCCAAAATTGTTTAATGGATAAAGAAAAAGTGAGTGTCCAGTTGCCTAGACTACTTTACCCATGGAGAGACTGAGTCTCGGGATGACATATAACTTGTCCCAGGTGATACAACAAGCCTCAGAAGGAAATCGCCCCTCTATGAAACACGTCCTTAAACCCAGCCTTCTGTGTGTCTCTTGGGAGAGGCAGCCTTAAGAAGCAACCTGTTTAGGCCAGGTGGGATTAAGAATTAGTGGAAGAAAGAGGGGAGGGTACTTCAAGTGGGAGGAATGGCCTAGGCCAGGGACTCAGAAACAACTGAGCAAGGGGACCGCGATGCAGAAGAGAGTTGAGCTGAGCAAAACCTCCTCTGAATTAACTCCTAGGGCCGGGGTGTCCTGGCTGAGGACAGGATGTGAGCCCAGAGTGCTAAGCCCCATAACCGAATCCTTCAGCCCAGGCTGGCAAAACACTCCTACGGCCCATATCGTGGGACTTATGGAGTGACCTTGAGAAATTCCATTCCCAGGCTGAGCTGCAGTTTGAGAGTGAGGGAATCTCAGAGCTGGAGGAGAAAGAAATCCACATCCATCAAATGTCCGAGTCAACGCCAATTCTCTTCTGGACTTCGCATCCTCCCAGGGCTTCAAGCCAGAAGCCTGGACGTCGCACGTGATCCCCGCTGCTCCCTCCCCCTCACGCAATAAATTCTGCCAGTTCTACCTCCAGAGCTGATCAGCACTTTAGCCAGCTCTCTCTTCCCCTCCAGCCCTGCCCCGGCCCTGCCACCATCACTTCCTCCCACCTAGATGAGCCCAAAGCCTCCTCAATGGTCTCCCCAAATCCCATCAGACCTCCCTGCCAATCTGTTCTCCACACAGCTTCCAGGGAGATCTTCTCACACAATGACAACAGTAATAACCAAGGATAATAGTGCATGTTTATGTGGTGCTTACTATGTGCCAGGCACAATTCGAAGCATCTTACATGCACATTCTCACAGTGTGAAAATGGTAATATTTCATCCTCATTTACAGATGTAGAAACTGAGGCACAGAGAGGTTAACTGCCTGAGGTCCCATAACCAGGAAGTGGTATATCCAAATTACACATCTGACCATGTCAATCTCCTACTAAAACCCTTCCAAGGCTCCTGCTGTCCTCAGGAAACAGGACCACACTCCATACTAGGGCCTGCAAGGCCCCACAGGGACTGACATCACAATTCCCCTCAGTCACTCCACACCAGGCACACTGGCTTTAGTTCCTCCAGCCACAGGGACCTTGCACATGCTGTTGGGAGACTCTCTCTGCTCCCTTCCCCTTTCACTGCTGAATTCCTACTCCTCTGTCATATTGCAACTCCATTATCACTCCCAAAAAGTCTTCCTCTACTCACCAAGCTGAGCATGGCTGCCCAGTGTGGTTGGACAGGATGTGCACTGCACAAAGGTACCAGCTCTAAGGGGCACCATTATAGATGCTGTAGACCTATACATACATCATAACAGTCACCGTTCAGTTAGAAATAAAGGGTACTTCCAGGCGTGGTGGCTCACGCCTGTAATCCTAGCTCTCTGGGAGGCCGAGGTGGGCGGATCGTTTGAGCTCAGGAGTTCGAAACCAGCCTGAGCAAGAGCGAGACCCTGTCTCTACTAAAAATAGAAAGAAATTAATCAGACAACTAAAAATATGTAGAAAAAATTAGCCGGGCATGGTGGCACATGCCTGTAGTCCCAGCTACTCGGGAGGCTGAGGCAGGAGGATCGCTTGAGCCCAGGAGTTTGAGGTTGCTGTGAGCTAGGCTGATGCCACGGCACTCTAGCCCGGGCAACACAGTGAGACTCTGTCTCAAAAAAAAAAAAAAAAAAGGAATAAAGGGTACAGAAAAGCACCATCCAATAGAACTTCCTGCAATGATGGAAAAGTCCTGGATCTGCACTGTTCAATAAGGTCACCACTGGCCACAAGTGGCTACTGAGCACCTGAAACATGATGAATACAATTGAGAAAGAAAGGCCAAGTGTAGTGTCTCATGCCTGTTGTCCCAGAACTGTGAGAGGCCGAAACAGGAGGATCACTTGAGGACAGGAGTTCAAGACCAGCCTGAGCAACACAGTGAAACCCGGACTCTACAAAAAATTAAAAAGTTAGCTGGGTATGGTGGCATGCATGTAGTTCCAGCTACTCGGGCAACTGAGGTGGGAGGATTCCTTAAGCCCAGGAGTTTGAGGTTACAGTGAGCTATGATTGCACCATTGCACTCTAGCCTGGGTGGTAAATCGACACTCTGTCTCGAAAACCAAACAAATAATTGAAGAAGAAAAATTTTTATTTTACTTTAATTACTTTAAACAGCCACATGAAGCTAGTGGCTACCACATTGAAGAGTGCCAGCATAGGGAAAGGGGAGCCTTTTTCCAATTTGCACAGAACCATGCCCCTCACCTTCACGGTGTAAGTTTGTTTGTCCATTCCCTGGGGACAGCATCTGATCCACGACCATCCGTACCACCCAAGCTTAGCTCCCTGAAAGCAGGGCACGAGCCTGATTTCACTTCTCAATGAAGCCCCAGCACCTGGTACCCGGCCCCACGCAAACATCTGCTCAAAGAATGAAAGATTTAATTGGGTCTTCATGGTGACCGCTGCTGCCATTTTCTATTCTCAAGCATCCTCTTGGGGACCTCACGTGACATCTGTCCACTGAGGACTCCCAGATTTCTGTCTCCAGCCCAGACATCTCACCTGAGATCCAGATTCACACAGCCAAGAGCCTGCTCAGCATTTCCATGCAGACGTCCCATGGGCCTCTCAACGCCTCTACCGGGGCACCCTCTCAAACTCCGTATGTCCCAAACCAAGGTCCTGTTCCCTCCCAAAATCTGCTGCTCTCACCATCTTCCCCATCTCACCAGAGGCCAACTCAATCCTTCCAGATGCTCAGGCCAGAGGCCTAGGGTTCATCCTGCATTCCTCTCTTGCTCACACCAATCAGCG